CTTTCCATACTTTTTGTGTTAATGATTTACTTATTTTATACAATAAAGAAAAACATGTTTTTTAAAGGCATATGCTATTGAGGCATATGCTTTTTTAATGCATGTTTTTTTAAGGCATATGCTTTTAAGCCTTGCTCAAAACTTGGCTGCGAAAATTGTTTGTACTCGTTATACAGTATTGACGACACGCTGTCCTCGATATTTTGCAATTTTCGGTACCGCATTTTGCAAGACAAAATTCGTAAAACCTTTCAGCTTGCAAGCCTCGTTGCTTCTTTATATTTCATTTCCCTCAACAGCACACTCCTTATGTTATAGATTTTGAAATTACAGAACGAATAAATTTTGAGTAGCGCAGTTAGCTAGATTATTTTTAAAAAAATAAAAGCTTACGCTGACGTGACCTAAGAACGTAGGCTACCCAAGCGATCTCTCCTATAAAAATATATTTTAATTTTTGTTAGGAAAAACACAATTGTGATAATATTATATTGTTATATAATTTCACAGCTCACAATTCCGTCTTCCAACGTATCATAAATACTCATCGCAAGCAGGTAAGTGAATGTTTTATTCTTTATTTTTAATGGAGTCTAAGTGATGTTGCCTTTTCCAGTTGCCGGAATAATCTTTAAAATGTATGAAATCTTTTGTCTCTTCACAGTTTGGAATGGCTATGAGTTTTAACACCTTCGGTCAACTTATAAGTAGAAATGAAGATGATGGGACCGAGCATGCATCACAACCAAAACGTGTCCGTTTGTCGACTGAAAGTCTTTCAACAGCTAACAGACATGCCACAAGTAGCACTGGAACACTAAATGATGCTTGTGATGAGTTGACACACGTTGCTGAGAAAACGAATCTCTCAGCTACAAGCAGCTACGACCTTGTTATAGACTAGTTGTGACCTCGTCAGTCGTCATCAAAGCTTAAGTGATATTTGACATAAAGGAAGCTCAATTTCTGTTTGGTTGTTCACAGCTTGGCAAAGAACATTGTAACAAGTCGAATTCCAAAGTCGAATTCCATTACCATCTGTAGATCTAATTTCAATATATATACTTATTCATATAGAACTGATATCCAATGCCTGAACACTAAATTCAAATTTCTTTCAAGCATTTCATCAAATTTTCTCAAATTCTTGTATAATTCATAAAACATCTAATTATACCTAATGTGAAAATTTTTGTAAAATAAAGACGTCCTTCGATGTGAACTGATATCCTTATACTATATTATATACTATATATAGTATACATACGTATAGATAGCCAATGCCTAAATAGAATCTTAAGTTCTTTGAAGCATTTCATCAAATTTTCTCAAATTCTTATATAATTCATAAAACTTCTAATTATGCCTAATGTGAAAATTTTATGTAAAATAAAGACGTCCTTCGATGTGAACTGATATCTTTATACTATACGTTATACTATATATATAGTGTATACATAAACAATTTTTTGCGCATTGATGTAACCTTTTAAAATGAGCACTACAGGAATCGAACCCACATACTAGAAACAGCTAGCAAACCATTATGCTCGTTTAAAGGACAACAACAAACTTTTTCTGTTTTTCCATCAAATTTTATCACGTTATTGATTGTTCTTAGTCTCCTTGATTGATCACAAACGCAAACTACTGCAAAATACAAATAGCTGATATTAATGTTCGAGGCATATAAGAATATTATCCCAATTTTAACGCAACCTGGGCACATTCACTTCTTCATTCAGGCCATGCAGTAAAACTCATTTTAAATGACAACTTTTCCCAGAACTGTTTCACCCCCCGAATGATAGGTCCCAAAGAAATTATGGATTTATCCACACTTGTTTTGAAAGGGATACGTTGCTCTAGTTTGGGTGAGATGTCAGTGAGCACTTGTTGCTGTAGAATGTCAAGTTTTCTGTTGAATTCTGTTACCTTTTCATGGTGATTGGGAGAATACTGGAAGAGTGCTCCATCAAACACTCAACGATATTAGTAGAACATCTAAAACATTCAGATGCATTAGACGATAAACGTTCGACACAAAGAATAGCACAATTCGTTGCACGTTTGGCTCTGGTTCGTCCAGACCATTTGTTGTTTGTTACAACTTATCAGTTTTCTGCGTTTTTTTGCCATGCTCATTTTCTAACGGCTTATTACGATTCCTGGACTAATCGCAATAAAACGTGTATGTACGCGTTAATGAACAAAAATACAAAATTGAGTCAACTAAATGCAGTAAATTCTTTCTGAACCGTATTGAACATACTTGTAACTTATTTACGGCACTCTAAGGAAACAGTGTGTTTTGTGGTTGAGAAACGCTGATGCATATTGCTCAGGAAAAAGCTAAGGCAACAACAGCCAATGGTTTTGAGGCGAAAACGTAAGAGCACACAGGATTTTACCGTTAAAAGAATCATTAAATTAGTTAGTGCTGCATTCAATGTAGTAATCAGAAATTTTATCTACCACAAATGTCACTAAATCAACGTCAGTTTTGCAAGCAAATCTTCACACTTGGCTTGGACAAATAACTGGAAACAGTGGCGGATCCAGTGTACCTCAAAATAAATTATAGCTCCTCAATTTGATATTCAAATTACATTCAGAAAAAACTATTGGTTTTGAATTTCTAAAGAATATAATTTTGCCAATGAATTTGCCTCTAAGATATATTGGATAAATGAACTTAACGTTGCGGTTTAACGATAAAGTGGTCTATTAGCTGCTTTCGTTGAAAAGAACAGTTTCTCTCACTTCTTTCCACATATCACGTTGACACGTCATGGAAGTGCCAAATATTTTGTATTACTTTATCTCAAAATTTCTTTTAAATAAGATTCAGTATGTACTAGTACGAAACCCTATGTAATGTACTTTTTAAAGTTATGGAACAATTATCTTTATAATATTGCCTTATGTTTTCTAACTTGCAGTACATCACATTGTATTTTTATCTCAATTTCAAAAAGTTGCCCGACTAGACGAACGACGGATGTCACTCCCCTGCCATACCCCTTCCCCCTTCCCAAGAAGTTTCAACCGTGTAGGACGATTAGATTACAAAATTGTATCTTTGAGTTGTTATATCATTGAAATTATAAGATAATATCTACAGAAACAGGCATGCACATGCAGCCAACAACTTCAACAGTTTTTAGAGGACACTAAAAGGTTATGCACCAGAGTTTATGAGTTTTAGAGGTTATGCACCCTCTCCGACAACACAGACATGAGACAATAAGGCCTGTCTTATACTTCACATTTACATGAGTCAAATGCATTCAAAACAAAAGATAATGAGGAATTTCATCTCATTTTCTTTTATCTTTAATGCATTTGACGCATGTAAAATACAGTCATGAAACAATAAAGTCATTAAACAATACATTCATTGAACAATATAGTCATTAAACAATACAGTCATTAAACAATACAGTAACTAAACAATACAGTCATTGAACAATATAGTCATTGAACAATACAGTCATTAAACAATACAGTCATTAAACAATACAGTCATTGAACAATACAGTCATTGAACAATACAGTCATTAAACAATACAGTCATTGAACAATACAGTCATTGAACAATACAGTCATTAAACAATACAGTCATTAAACAATACAGTCATTAAACAATACAGTCATTAAACAATACAGTCATTGAACAATACAGTCATTGAACAATACAGTCATTGAACAATACAGTCATTGAACAATACAGTCATTGAACAATACAGTCATTGAACAATACAGTCATTAAACAATACAGTCATGAAACAATACAGTCATTGAACAATACAGTCATTGAACAATACAGTCATTAAACAATACAGTCATGAAACAATACAGTCGTTAAACAACACAGTTATTGAACAATACAGTCATTAGACAATGCAGTCATTTAAAAATGCAGTCATTAGACTATGTAATCATTAGACAATACGATCATCAAACAATAAAGTCATAAAAAAATCATCAGAAAATGTCATCAGACAATAAAATCATAAAACAATACAATCATCAGAAAATATAGTAATCAGACAATAATGTAATGAAACATAATAATCATAAGACAATGAGGTCATCGAACATCACAGTTAACAAACAACATAATCAAGAGACAACCGTACCCATACTTCAGAGAACACAGACAGTTATTAGACCACAAATCTAATAGAGACACAAACATACAAACTAGAAAGTTATCTGATTAGAAATACCATAAAAAACAAGGCGACTAGAAATGTAATTTAAGAAACAAAAGATTTAATCACTTTGGAGCCAAAACATAAACAAAGTTTGTCCATCTACTGCTGCAGCAACTAGTTTGAGTAAATTTCGTGAGTTGATAAGATAAAATACAAAGCATTAATAGTTATAGTACCTTCTTCATTACATCGAGATGGGACTGCTTTTATCGATAGAGTACAATCTTTTTTCCATTAAAGACCAAAGCCTGTCTCACTTGCCGCCTTTAGTGAGGCTGTATTCATAGAAAGTAAAACCCACTGTTGACCACCAACCACGTCGTGTATTTGCTCTTTATCGTCATGTATTTGCGCTTTAGCGTCGTGTATTTGCTCTTATGGATTGTGCAATATATATCCATACATGGAATACGTACTGTGTGTTCATATGGCTTTTTGGCGTAAGCAATTGATAAGGACTTGTAGTTCGTATTCCATGTATAAGCCACAAAAGTTTTAGTCAAGCAAATTAGTCATTCCCAATCGAAATCATTCGATAAATAGTGGCTTATTTTTAAATTAATTATGTTCCCATGATTCGGGTTATGATCAATATTCCACTCAAATCGAGCAAAATTCAAAAGCTGGTTTTCTTTCCATAGGGGCTTTCCCATTTTAATGTGGGAAACTCCCACTGTTTGGATTTCCGTTGCTTACAAGTTTCTATTATTTTGAATTCAAACAGTATATTTGCTTCGTTAGAAATTTCCGCTTTATTGCATTTTGCTGTCGCTGCTTCGCGTTAACTCTCGACGTTCGAAATTTCAACATTTTTAACACGGTATGTTCATATTTGTTTATGATCAGTAATCTAGATGTATGTTCATATTTGTTTATGATCAGTAATCTAGATGTAATGAGTTTTCTTTCCATCGGGGCTTTCCCATTTTAATGTGGGAAACTCCCACTGTTTGGATTTCCGTTGCTTACAAGTTTCTATTATTTTGAATTCAAACAGTATATTTGCTTCGTTAGAAATTTCCGCTTCATTGCATTTTGCTGTCGCTGCTTCGCGTTAACTCTCGACGTTCGAAATTTCAACATTTTAACACGGTATGTTCATATTTGTTTATGATCAGTAATCTAGATGTATGTTCATATTTGTTTATGATCAGTAATCTAGATGTAATGAGTTTTCGTACCAAATTCATTGTGTATTTGTTAAACTTGTAATGATTGTCCAAACTGTCTTTGCTAGAAGCTAAGAGAGATCAGTTAGTATTAAAAGATAAATTTCTAATTCAAATGAACGTAGAACTTGAATCAAAACGAAAGTGAAAGCTTTTGAACTCATTTTATGAAAGGTCTTAGTTATTTGTAGAGCTTCTTCCTAGGCGTAGCACAGCTTCTTTTATATTGTACAAGTGTAAGACATTGAAACAGCTCATTGCGGTCATTCATTTTCATACATTCAAATTTTGTTCTGAAAAAGTTCCAAGATTCATATTTGAAGAAATTAGTGACAATCGAGAAAACGTGTGAAACATGACATTCAACGACGTATTGTGGTCTGCGTCTGCCTGGTCATCGTTGAAAGAGAAATGTGGCCATCTTTCCAAATTAGAAATGTCTAAAGAGATTCTAACATTTGGTGAAAATCAAAATGATCAAAATGAAACTGGGAAGAAAGGTGTCATGAAATTCAATGACGACAAAATACTAGGTCCTGATGAACGGGAAAAAATTCATAAATATATGAATGGGCGGAAAGCGACTCAATCCTTTTTTGCTCATGAAAGTGCTTCTAAGCCATTGTCATTAAATCCTGCGTTTTCGAAGGAAGTTGATCATGGTCGTAATGTCACTAATGTGTCTTCCAATGGTGCCGATATTTGTTCTTCTTCTACTAAATCTTTTTATTTCCGAATGTGCTCTCATCGTTTCAATCATGAAAGAAATAGCTGAAGGATTGCTTGTTTCGGTGGATTTAGTTGAGAAATTTGTGAAAAATCCAAATGACAAATCAGCGAAAGACATTTCAACCTTGTTTGCCAAAATTTCAGACGAGAATGTCGATGTCAATACCGAAATTAGAAACTCGTCCAACAGAAAATCTTCACAAAACAGAAAATTTGAAAAAGACGATGACGTCACTGGTTTGCTTACAAGCGGCAGTGAAGCTAATGAAACGCTCGAAGCACGTTTAGATCGTCTTAATTCTGAAAACAATCGTTTGAATCATAAAATTTCAGAGTTAGAAGAACGACATAACGCTATTATGATCGAACTTTTTCTTGCAACCGAAAAAGTTAAAGAGTGTCAGCATGTTTTCATTGATAATCCTGGTATTATAAATGATGGGAAGTGGCTTGGCTACCCAAATTATAAGAACTGTAAATATGCAACTAACTGCAGCAATGAAGACTTAAAAGACGTTCCTAAAGTTGTAATTTCGACAAATGATATGAATGAATATTTTCATGAAAATCAAAAACTGAACTACAATAAAAAAAAATCTGAGGAAAAACGTCCTGAAGAAGTAAAAAGCCTTGTAATAAGTGATAAAAGAAAAAGAAATGTTGAAATGAAACCTGAAGGAAACATTGAAAATGACACAATGAATGATGAAGGAATGAAAAATAATGAAGATCGTCAAGAAAGAAATGATAATGAAGAAATGATGACATCTTCAGACATGTCACAATTTAATGAAGAAGATGCATTACCTTTCTCAGTTCAACAAGATGAGAGCAATAATTATGAAAATATATCATTAAAAAGTGCGCCACCAATCTCAGTTGCTTCTTCTTTATTTGTTAATTACAAAATGATGTTGCTCACAATCCCTGAAAGATTATTGTCTTCTGATGTGACAGCAATGAAAGAATGGGCACGTCGACAATTCTCAATTGAGCATGCTCAAGATGCAACAGAAATCTTACGTGAACTTGATCGTCGTTTGATCATTAGTGCTTCAAATTTAAGTGTTCTTCACTCGTTTTTTGAATCCATCATCAGATTTGACCTCATCTACATTATTGACGGCTATCTGACCGGAGATTACAGTGTTTTCAAAAACGCTCAGCAAATGAAAACCTCGACGAGAAAATCATGGAACAAGATCAAGTTATAAATCTTTATTAATGTCAACAAATGATCGTCTTTCGTTGCAATATTCCTCAACTGCAAGCAAACCCATACGCAAAAGAAACAACGATGTTAGCTCTCATAGATCCATTCAGCGACCTTCTAATCCTTTGTCGCCTGTAAACATCAATGTTTCCAACCCTGTTCCTAAACATCCCCATGAAAATCAATCAGAAGATTTTTTAACTCAGAAACCGAAATCATCAATTGCAACAAACACAATCGTGTCTGAAGCCCATGTAATGAGTAAGTTTAAAATAATTTTATTTCTTTTATTTTGTTACTCTTACAACTTGAAATGTACTATCCTAGAATATTTGATGCACAACATGGTATATTTTAAGTAAATAATTCTTATCACAGCAGCTATAAAAATTTAAGAGACTGCAGTTGTTGATACGTTGTCGTAAACCTCACATTACACTAGTAGTACTTAAAGTAATCATTCTAGCGTTATTTTCATATATCCCATGAAACACCACGCCCGATGTCATCGACATTGTCACGATATGGGTTCATGTTGCTACTCTCAACTGTGAAGGCACCAAAGAATATGGTATGGTTATGACTACGGTGTATGGTGAAGTGCTTTTCGGTGTTGAGAATAGAATTGTAATGTCGCCCAAAAAGAAAAATGTGTATTTATGAGCAGTTCTTGACAGTGCCTCCAATTTTCTCCTAAAATGTTAAAGTACTCAACAACGTCAACACTATGTTTTTAGCTCTCGATGGCTGTGATCATTTGGTCAATATATCTTGATCATTAAACTGAATATATCTTGAAACGTTGTTCCTACGGGAAAGTTGAATGTTGCAATTTCTTTTTTTGTTTTTTCATTTCTTTTTTCCCCATAGTGCATGTGAAAAGCATACGATATAGACGCCGAAGAAATAGGGCGACAAACACACGAAAAAATTTCCACCCAAAAATCGCAACAACGCAATGAAATACAATTAATACATTTTAAAAAACAAAATAATATCCCTAACCATGATATCCTTCTCTTCTGAGTTTTTGTTTTAGTTATATTCATTTCAATGATTTTGAATGTGAGAAGAAACTTTGAGAAAAAATGTTTGAAAACAATGTAGTTCATTGATTTTATTTTCCTAAGTTACTAATGCAAAATTTTGTGTATAATTAACTTTCAACAGATACGTCATTCAACAATGCAAGCAATCCTTTGCGATCCTCTGGTCTCCCAAAAGGTATTCAATTTCCAGGCAGTAATGGTAAGAAACACTCAAAGTTCAATAATAATTCCCAGAACTCTGAAGTGGTGTTCACGTCTCGGGAAGGTAACTGGTTATGTAGTCACTATAAAAGACATTGTTTTGTTAAATTTGATTGTTGTGAGCAGTTTTATCCCTGTCATCGTTGTCATAACAATCAAAGTGCGTGTGGCAACAAGAAGCTTAAATCACGTGATGTAAAAAAAGTCAAATGTGCTTATTGTAGCAACGAACAAGAGGTAATATATTTTCATGCTGTAAAATAACACAAAAAACTACTCTAAACATACGAGAATAGTTAAATGAAATTTGTTTGTTATGGTCGTAAAACATTTCATTTGAATTTTCCTATTCTCATTTGAAATTCGCTAGTTTGGTGAAAAGTGCACGAATTGTGGTGTTAAATTTGCCGAATATTTCTGCGCTATATGTAAACACCTTACTGACAAAGACGACCATCCTTATCATTGCGAGAAATGTGGAATTTGCAGGTACTCAAATGTACCCAAATATAAACACGTTCTCCAATTATAACTGATTGATCTCATTTGTTAGATAATCATAAATATTAAGCACTAAACTGATTTTTGACACGTTTGTATTTCATTAGAGTTCACGGAGATCGTTCTTTTCATTGCGATGTTTGTGGTGTGTGTCTTGATGTACAACTGCGTGGTAATCATAAATGTAGAGAAAACTCCGCACATGATGAATGTTGTATATGTTTAGAGGTAAACATTTACTTTAATTTTCCTGCTGATTTATTTAGGCACAATGAATAAAATAAAACAAATAATTCTTGACTTTTCTGTGTTATATACACGAGTTGCTGTTATGTGTGTATGGCACTTTCACCGTTGTTAAGTAAATTTTATCGACCTTTAAATGATATATCTCTCTTCAAGTCAACCGTCACCATAGTGGATACCTTTTTGGACACATGTTTTTTACCATCAACTTTTTTACTTTCGCACTATCATTATTCAATAATTCTTTTCACAAAACTAAACCTTCTTCTGCTTACGATACAATCAATCTCATTTTATCTCTACCCCGTTACAAATGGTAAATATTCATTATAGTTGCTGCTCGTGTTTCATTTTGTAATGTTTAGTCAAATTCATATCCAAATCTTTAAAATATTTTCAATATTTTATTGTAGGATGCTTTCACAGGTTGTCAAATATTACCATGTTCTCATAAAGTTCATAAAGAATGCGCCAATGAAATGATTCGAAGAGGAATGTAAGTTGAACGAAAATCCAAAAATGAATCCAACTTTATGTATTACTGACGTTATAGCCAACGTCATCTATGTGTTACTGACGTTATAGCCAACGTCATCTATGTATTACTGACGTTATACCCAACGTCATCTATGTATTACTGACGTTAAACCAAACGTCATTTATGTGCTACTGACGTTATACCAAACGTCATCTCCTGACATTGTCTAACAGTCAATTCTATGATTATTAGAAATATTTTTTTCTGTCCTTTAGAACACGCTGTCCCATTTGTCGTGAAAGTTTTGCTCATAAACTTGAAAAGAAAACTCCATCGAAGAGACGTCATGGTGGAAGACATAAATGACAAGCAGCCATTATATAGATTTACATTTTGTCCTTCGATTGGCTGCTTTTAATTTGATTATAGAAAACGATGATTTGTGTTTTTATGATTTTGTTAAATTCCTCTGGAGATGTGTACATTATTTTGAACAAATTGATATATTTTGTTTCACGTTTAAAATTGTGTGAAATTTTTCTTTTAGAATCACATCAGGTACACGTGCCAAAATTTATATAAAGTTCAGTTTTATCTTAATCTATTATGTAACTTCTAAAAGCTCCAGTTTTCATATTAGTGAAATAGTTAGTCATTGCACACCTTTTAATTTGTGCGTAAAAGATAATTTCCGTTTCTTATTTCATTTCTTCATATTATATAATAAATGATATAGTTAAAGTAAATGGTTTGAACCCGGGAGTATCGTTATATGTTTGTAAATGATGATCGTCCAGGTTAATAAAGTCCTGAGAAGGACTGTTTTTGTTGTTGTTGACTGACGTTTCGACAACCTTAGCGGTAGTCATCTTCAGAGTCAAATGAGGAGTAAACGTCAGGTTAGCCATATTTGTTATATGGTTCTTACGTCATTGTATTGTGTGTACAGGAAATGTGTATTGTCATTGTGGATTAGTGTGAAGTGAAATATTTTATTTTTAGTTGTGATGTGTGATTTAGGTGTGACGTTTTTAGTTGTAATGTGTGGGTGTCAATTGTTTATTGTCATTGTGAATTAGTTTGAAGTGTAATGTTTTTAGTTGATCGTTTGTTTGTATTATGAATAAGTCGTTTGTAAGGTGCCAGTAATTGCTGTCATCTGTTCAGGGGGGTTTGTTCCAAGTTGGTATACCAACTTTCTAATGTAAGCCGTTGTCTATAGACTATAGTCAGTACTTGCATTTTGCCGAGTCCCAGTCAATGTTGTGCTTTGTGATTCGGTGATGTTCGGCAATGTGATTAGTTTTGTCTTGTTTCTTAGTAGCTCGTTTGTGCTCAGTAAGTCTTATGTTTAAGTTCCTGCCAGTTTCCCCGATATAGGAGGCGTGGCAGTCGGAGCAGTTTATTTTGTAAACTGCACCTTGTCGTTCGTTGGGTTGTTCTTCGTCCTTTATGTTCGTTAGTACTTGTCGTAACGTTGTGATTGGTTTATGTGCAACACGTATGTTGTATGGTCGTAAGATACGCGAGATAGTCTCAGACGTACCTTTGATGTAAGGTATCGTTGCTGTTGTCACTGAGTTATTCGTTTCGTTGGGTTCGTTGGGTTTGTAAGTGTTGCGTTTGATAAAGTCAGAGTTATAGTTGTTTTTGTCAAAAACACGTTTGAGATAGTTGTTTTCGTTTTGTAGTGCGTCCGGTGAATCACATATGATTTATGCACGTCTTGTTAATCACACCTAAATCACACATCACAACTAAAAATAAAATATTTTACTTCACACTAATCCACAATGACAATACACATTTCCTGTACACACAATACAATGACGTAAGAACCAGATAACAAATACTGCTAACCTGACGTTTACTTCTCATTTGACTCTGAAGATGACTACCGCTAAGGTTGTCGAAACGTCAGTCAACAACAACAAAAACAGTCCTCCTCAGGACTTTATTAACCTGGACGATCATCATTTACAAACATATAACGATACTCCCGGTTTCAAACCACTTACTTTATTACGATAATTTGGACGACAGAGCGAACAACTTGCTAACGACTACATACGTTTTGCAAGCAACGTCAGACGCATACGCCAACAACTCTGGTTCAACCACCGCTGCAAGGATTTTAGTCTCGTTCCGGCAGGACTTAGAATTAAGTCCCCGTTGAACACACAAAAAGACTGAGTGCCTCTACCAGCCAGTAAAGCTTCTACTCCCTCCCCCAAAACCCTGTGCAATCACCATTGACGGACAGCCTCTTGTCCAGACCACAGACTTCAACTACCTGGGTAGTACAATCTCCAGCAATGCTAAGATTGAAAAGGAGCTGAGGAACAGAATGGGAAGGGCGAGTGCAGCGTTCAGTCAACTAAACGATCGGCTATGGCAAAATAAGCATGTCTCGACCAGAGTTAAAGCCAAGGTCTATCAGGCGGTGGTGCTGACAACACTCCTTTATGGAGCAGAGGCATGGACAATCTACAGGCTTCAAGTGAAGAAACTGAGTGCGTATATGATGAGACAACTGCGGGACATTCTGAAGATATCATGGCGGGACAAGATCGCAAATGCTAAGATTCTCCGTCTGACTGACCTGCCACACATGGCTGACATGCTGATTCAAAAGAATTTAAGATGGATTGGTCATGTCCATCGTATGGAGAGATCTCGTTTACCACGCCAGCTATTGTACAGCCAACTAGTAGAAGGGAAACGAAACCAAGGCCGACCTCGACTCAGACTCAAAGATGTCATGAAACGAAATCTAAAGAGGAGAGACGTCAACGTGACAACCTGGAAGCAATTGGCTGATAACAGACCGGCCTGGAGAGCTTCAATCCAACCATAGAACAGTCCTCGTCGCTTACGACTGACTGCATGATGATGATGATGATGATGAACACACAAGAGGCTATTCAGATTGTCAAATCCACCAGCAGACGACTGATACGATCGCGGATTAACGACTGTCACAGACGAATCAACTATTACATCAAACAACAAGAACAAAGACTGAACAAACTGAACAAAATGGCGGATTTCGTCCGTTGCCGCTGAGATTTACCGAAATTGATCGCTTTTCCGAAAATTTCACAATTTCCCACTCCCTCCTGAGGAAAGAGTGAGGAAAATGTATGTGTGTATTTGGGATTCGGCAAGCAATTTTTTGATGAAAATCAAGGTAAAAACCTTAAATTCATAACAGCGAGTCAACTGTGGTTGTCAGTTATGTGCTCCTACGAGGATGCATTTATAACTATCGAGTGTTGAACGTTCTAAACGAGGAGGCAAAAGGTCATGAAGCTTATGTGAGGAATCTGCTACTATCTTCTGAAACAACGCTGTTGTTATATCATTCCTCCTTTCGCTAAGGCGTTGCAAATTAGTAAACTGCAGAGCGTTTTCATATTCTTGATGAGGCAGGATTATTTTTAATGCTCGCTTTTGGACTGACTCTAGGTCATCTGACAGATACAATGTCAGACTATTGTGGAACACTGGGCAAGCATACTCCAAGACAGGTCTTATACACGTTTTGTAAAATTGGAGCAATTCCTTGACTTCGATATTTGCTCGTTTTAGTTGAATAAGATAATAGAGGCGTTTACGGCATTTCTTAATTATTTCATTTACGTGGATGTTCCACTTAAGGTTACTGGCTATAACCAATCCCAAAACTTTCGCGTGTTGGACAATATCCAGTGTAATGTTATTGATGGTAATTGGTTGAAGGTCATTGGTATTAGATCCAAAACAAATTCGCATCTCTTTACATTTGGTTTCATTTAACTGGAACTTATCACGCGAGATGCTGTTCGCTAATGTGTCCATTTGGTTTTGTAAGTTACTTGTTTGATCTTTCTCAATTACTTCACTAACAGTGGTATCGTCCACGAATTTCCACATTTCATTATTTGGTAACTTGAGATCGTTAATCATTATCAAAATAGCCAAGGCCCCAATTTTGTGCCCTGCGGAACGCCTGCAGGTACGAGTTTCCACTCTGAAAAGCAATCGAATTTCAGCTTTACTCTTTGTTTCCTGAGGGAGAGGAAATCCATAATCCAGTGTAGAACCCATTTCGGTATATGAAATGAACGTAGTTTTCAACCAATAAGTTATGATCAATCAGATCAAAAGCTTTCTTGAAATCCAATAACAGCACACGAACGGCCGCCCCGTTACCATCAGTTGCTTTATTCCACGATTGTAACATACTAAGTAAAGCTATAGTTGTGCTTGAATTTGGGATTGCCCCATACTGATTAGAGTCTATCTTCTTAAGTACAGCTGGCTTGACATAATTTTCCACAACAAACTCCTCGGCTACTTTTGATAAAATCGCAGTAAGTGATATAGGCCTTAAGTGTTTATTAATATCTCGTACAGGTTTCTGCTTTGGAATTGGTGTAATATTTGCTTTTTTCCATGATTCTGGTAACCGGGCCTCTTTAAAGGAGCTGTTTATAATATCTGCCACGGGAGCGGCCAATAAATCAGCATTCTCTTTTAGAACCCAGGCGGGAATACCGTCTGGGCCAGTTGCTTTCCTTGCGTTAAGGTTGACATCATATCTCAATCATATCATCATATCATCAGGTTCACCAATCATATCATCATATCATCAGGTTCATATCATCAGGTTGCAAACCTGATGATCATCATATCATCAGGTTTGCAAGGTTGACATCATATCTTCCTGTGAAGAAACAGACGGTGAAATACCACTTAACTTTTTGATTTCCTTCCACCAACTTGCAGATGAACACGATTTTAAATGCTCTACTTTGTTTTGGTAAAAACGTTTCCGACAAGATTTTCTTTCTCGGTTTACTTGGTTTCTTAATTTCTTGAAAGAGTCAAGGTCTTTTGTGCAAAAGCTTTTTCCCTTCGGCGGATCAGTTGTTTTAGCGATTTGGTCATCCAAGGAGGCTCATTAGTGATCAGCACCTTCTTGTTTGTGGGGAGTAGGAAATCAAGACCAAAGTTAATGATGAGCTCTAACATTTTCATTTTGTCATCACTATTTCTTATTTCGTCGTCACTATTTCTTCCTACCCACTGTTCGACATTGACCTCTTCTAAATATTTACCAAAGGCCGAACGTTTGGATGGTCGCAAATCCCTTGACATTACCACTACTTTAGTCCCAGAGTTTTCAGATCTTTTTAATGGTTGCACTTCTACGGTGACATGATCGGATAGTCCAAAGGGAGGACGTTTAATTGGAGAATCGTAAAATTCTTTCAAATTTGTTAAAATCAAATCCAGCTTATTATTGCCACGAGTAGGAAAATTTACGATCTGACGCAAATGGAAACTATTCTTTAGCAGACGAACGTTCAATTTGTTAAAATCGCCCGAGATAATTATCCCACAATTTGGAAATTTTGTTTCAACTGTTTGTAGTGATTCAAAAAGATAATTGATCATAGCCTCATCATTCGCCCCCGGTGGGTGGTACAAATTACATAAAATAATATTAGACACACCTCTTGGTAAACGGGTCAGTCTTAGATCTAACCATAATGCTTCGAGCTCATTTGTTAAAAGGTCTTGCAGGATGCTAAAGTTAATTGTGTTTCGAATATAGACGCAAACACCACCATGAATGCGTTCACGTCTATCGCTGTTGTATAATTTACGATATTTCATTTATATTTTTTATTGCATGCCAGATGTTATAAGTTCCCATGCAGAGTTTTATGTGTGCCGAAATTATAATTAAAAATTAGGGTGTATATACTTAACACTTCCTAAGTATTTTCTCTCTTAATTAATTCATGTTGTAGTAGTGCACGTAAGTCACGAAATGTAAACATATAAATAGACTGAAATTTGTAATAGTCCAAGAGATTGTGTAGATTGTTCATTGCTAATAAACTCCATAAAACAAACCGAATCAGAGTGCAGATCAATTTTCTGGACGAACTCAGTGAATTCTGCGACAATCGCGTCTAATTAAATTATACCCGGGTAGCGAAACAATGTTATCATCAATATGACTTTGCAACCAAGTTTCCACGATGCATAGAATATCCACACTTGAACTGGCAATGTACGCATGTAATTCATCGATTTTTGGGGCCAGCGACATGATATTAGACAACATTATGGATGGTACAAATACATTTGGTGATCCACAACTTTTAAAGGATACTCTTGGAATAATAATACAATTGCTTTTGTTATGACCAGACAGTCTGCAACGGGAACGTAAGTTATAATGATCGCTTGGATTAAGAGACGATCTTACTAGTGTAGGTATTGCTCGAACGAACTCAAGCGATTGTGTGATAGACAAACAACACTCTAATGTACTATCCTCTTTTTCTTTAAAAATATCTTTCACTATAAATTGATCGTGTTGGTGTTGTTGGCTGTCGCCTTTTTTACATAGCACAGGTATTCTCTCCAAGACTTTTGTTGTTCCTCTCTGAATTCTTTCGTCAGACTGAATTCCGTTGGTAATTTCTGTTGATGGGAATAACGATGCTGAAGATGCCAAGAAGTCAACTGACGATTCTGCAAAGGAACTTGTTGATGGAAGTATTGGTGATAAGGGCGTCGTTGGAATGACTGACGATGCCAAAAATGGGTTTGTTTATGGCCTGGTGCGGTCGAATGTACTCGCTTCATTACTCTATCACTTCGTGTGATTTTTAAGTCTTTATCTACTTCAGAATTAAAGTTGCTCTGATGTTTTCGTTGATGCTCGGTATTCTTAGAGACAAGTTCGTTGCTAGGAATTTCATTTCTTTGCGCCTGCTGGTTTTGAGTGTTAATCGTTTCGCTGACTTTACAGCTTTGTAAATTATTCCGCTGCTTGCATTGATATTCATGTAATTGGGACTCAAGTTGATTTAAGCATTTATTACTAGGGAAATCTTTCTGATATTTGCTTTGTTGCTTTCGTCGATACTCAATAAGCTGTTTATCAATTTGAACTTGAGTCGTTCTTCTACTCTTGCAGCCTTGACCTGCTGCAGGATTTTACTGAGTCCTGCACGCCTACGCTTGTTTCGAGATTAGCAGGTTTTGCATTACAAATTAAGGGCACATTATTTTGCGATGTAGTCGTTTCGTCATTTAAAGGAATTTTTGGTTTAATAGTTGGCGTGGCATGTGACAAAACAAGCACTTCACTTTCCATCTTTGTTAAGCGTGACTTCAGATTCAAATTTTCTGTTGTCAATTTGCATATATCTTGCTTGTTTCTAAGTATGACTTGCTTTTGTTCTGAAATTTTTGCCACCATTTTAAACACCGTTAATTCAATTTGATTTTTAAACTCATCAAACTTGTCCTCTAAGGATGTTTCAGCGTCTCCGGCTCGACATGGAGTTGCGCCGATAAGAGATTCCGTTAAATCGTCTTTATTTGTTTGTGAGGAAAGTTTTTGAAAGGAACTATCAATAAAGTCCTGTAACTCCTCGATTGACGACTGGTCAAAAGCCAATACAGGGAAATTTCGCGTTTCAGATTTAGCAAATTCGCCCCGTGCTTCACAACTTTCACGTATAGCTTGCTCAGCAGATTTATGCTTATTTTCAATATCGGTGTTAATCTTATCTTGTACTTCAGACAAGTTAGCGCTTGAGGACTCCAAGACGCTTATCAACAAATTCCTAAATGATTCTCCGTCCTTTCCATTAAAAGACATTGTACTTAGCTTGCCCGGGTACCAAGTTATAATCAAATCTAGATCGCTGCTAACAAACTTTTTTGATTTACCTCCGGGCGATTTCCAAATGCCCACCAATCCGACGGTGTTTTCGACAAAATTTCGCAAAGATGTCAGGTCACCTGTCCACTTTAATCGTTGACCATCAAACATCAAAAGGGCTTCTTCTTTTATTAATTTAATCGCATGTATATCTGTTATATCTCGTATGATTCGGCTTATTTCGAGCCATATTGTTCGAGAACCAATAATTATATTTATGATTTCACAACTGTTTTGTCAGTGATGTTTATGGTTCAACCCTTATTCAGTTAATAATGATATTCATAAATGGTTCAATTCCTGAACATACCCAATATTGTGTTCACATTTAATTTGTTTGTTGTAGACAATCATGTAATTCGACTCCTTACATTTTTTTTAGGTTCAATCTAAAGTAAATCTTAAAGTATGACAGTTGGCACAAAGAATTGCTGAGCAAGTTTGGATCCATGCTTGGCACGAATATGAATGATTTTTATGGAACAATTACCAAGGTTTGTACAATTATCTCTAGGAAAGTTTATTATAGACTATACACAGGTTGAATTCTTTGATAAATTATTGTATTGTAAATATTGCTTTATTTTTGATCAACTATATAAACCTTATTCATTGTTGACGTCCCTAGCAGTTAGCTTTCTGAAATCAGTTCTGAAAAAGATCGTCTTTTTTTCGCAGAGAATGAAATAAAATTGCGTTTCATCTTCATAGAGTCGTACAGATTTGGAACAACATTCTGTTGAAGTATCATCAACATCAGATACCGTCAGCTTTATTACTTTTGTTCAATCTTTAAAACATAAACTGAAAAGTGGGAAAAAGTTATGGAGGCAAGTGGATCTTGTTATTTTATCTTTTGTTTAGATAATTTCTGGTTAATGAACTGTTCCACCCTATTATCTTGTGAAGTCCACCCCTGTTATCTTGTGAAGTCCACCCCTTTTATCTTCTTTCATAAATAAAGTTGTTTAAAACATTTATTTTCTCTTATCCATTCTAACCATCTCAACAAGTTATGACTTTCTGACTTCATTTCCATGCCACACAAGTGCTTACTTATTCACTCTTAATATTTATTTATATCATGGTAGGTTTACAAAAACGGTCAGCTCATTCTGGAAAAAGATCCAGTTTCCATCACAATGGTTGTACTACGACAACGTAGAGGGCGAATGGGGAGCATTCAATGATATCTTTAATCGTAAAGATATATCTATTCAAAAAGAGGTAAAATATGCAATATACTTTTATGGTTATTTAAAATACATTATTTTTTTGACATTGAAGAACAATATGGTGTATTGTATTTGTTGACGATGACGCGATTCTCTTTGCCAAAGGTGTCAATGTTGCAAGTGAAGATCATTGCTGAAGATCAAGCTGTTGAAGAAAGAAGAACAGAATTCCTGAATGACTGGGATAAAGGCAAACCTATTGAAGGTAGTACTCGACCGGATGCTGCTCTCAAATCTCTTGCTGTTTACGAGGGAAAGCTCAATCGATTGAAAGATGATAGAAGTAATGTTGCAAAAGCTAAGGAAGCCTTAGAGTTAATGGAACAAGGTATGGTTTGTTTTTTTGTGTATTTATAGCATGCCAGAGAAAGTCGTTGAACTTTCTCACTGCATATACTGTCAATAATTAATTCAACGCTGTTGTGGTGCTCAGACTTGGTGAGTAGGTTCAATTGCAAAGTTTGTATTTTATCAGTTTATATCATCTTTGCACTGTATTGTTCCTACTATATCCTCATTATCCTACATTATGAAGTGTGTCATATTTCTACCGTATTCTTACCTAATATATCTTGCATGACCAAGTCGTAAAAATGCGTAATGTAAAGGTTTCATCGATGTCACTACAAAGAGGTGTCATTACAATAGTGTTGTTTAACATCAGGTGCTACAATGATCAGCGATGATCGTGTCCAGGTTTCATTGGAAGAGTTGCAAGATCTTAAAGGAGTTTGGAACGAGTTGTTGAAGATTTGGGAGAAGATTGATGAAATGAAAGAGCAACCTTGGTTGTCAGTACAACCGCGCAAGGTAGATCACTTGCAATATAATATGATTTGAATTTAATGATAATGATTGACTTTGCAGTTGTGGTAATGTTGTGCTTTTATGACTTTAACGTTTCTACTTCAAATATACGTTTGTATTATTCATATGTAGATATGTAGATGTTTAATGTATGTTTAAAGTACGTATGCTTTTTCATTTAAATTTAGATACGTCAATCTCTTGATGCTTTGTTGAATCAACTAAAGAATTCCCTACTGTCTTAAACAGTATTCATATTATGAATACGTACAGAAACTACTCAAAGGTTACGTGAAGGTATGAGGATTATCTTGTTGTTGAATAACATACATCTCGCTGCTTCGCTTGACATGTTTCACATTCGACCTAACATCTTTTAAGGCAAATGTTGTTGAACATACATCTCGCTGCTTCGCTTGACATGTTTCACATTCGACCTAACATCTTTTAAGGAAAATGTTGTTGAATAACATACATCTCGTTGCTTCGCTTGACATGTTTCACATTCGACCTAACATCTTTTAAGGCAAATGTTGTTGAATAACATACATCTCTTGCTGCTTCGACATGTTTCACACTCGACCTAACATCTTTTAAGGCAAATGTTCACATTGTTGAGTTAAATCCAAGTCCTCAAGGAACGTCATTGGAAACATTTGATGAAACAACTTCGTGTAAAATGGATTATCAATGATCTAACAAGTTTTCACTTTTTTAAATATACTTTTCTTGCAAGCAATGGACGATGGCTGACCCTCGGAGAGAGAAGAACTCGAGAATTTAATCGAGGAATGGAATGTGACAAGATTAGATATGTTTGCTATCAAAAAACCCGATGCGGTCAGTAATTTATTTTCATGCTTGATACATTTATTGAGGGGCGGAATTTAAAAATTCATGTAACAATCATCTTTATTCTACATCTTTATTCGTTATTACAACCTTGATTTCTCTGGCAATATGCGTTTTACTTTCAGGAAACTCATGGAAAGACACAAAGTATCGACTAAAGTTCTCCGAGTGAAGAGTTCAGACACAACGGACGAAGTTATGAAGGTTTTAGTATCGAAATTTCATCCTGACATGAAGATGTTGACGGTTCCGAACTATTCACTACGGTGTCTGAAACTGGAGCAGGTACGTTTCAAAGAAACAGTGACCCTCGCTGTGTTAAACTTGGGAGTATTTATTTTAATGGCTACGTATTTGAAGCGAGTAGTGCTCAACAGAGTCGATATTGTCATAATATTGTAGGGTTTTTTTGAGTTTAAACAACGTCGCTTCTTGTAAGGTATACTGGCAGTCATGGCCTACTTAAATTACACTACTGTGAAGGTACCACAGGATTCATCCTGACATTCATCCTGACATTCATCCTTACATTCACCACAGGATTCACCACAACATTCAAAATTAGCATAAAGTGTGAAGTTGACACCACATTCATTTTAATGTTATTAAATAACATCAGTTTCAGAAACAAAATAGAAAAAAACCGTATTTTTTGCTACAAAAAAGCAAAAGATGCACACGTGTTTGGTGCCGTTGTAAAGACCAAGTTATTTAGACAAGGATTATACTATTTTTATTTTGGTCGAAAGTCTTGGAGCAAATCTACAGCCTTTTAAAGACTACTTCCGCTTTTGTCTCTTTACGTTAAATAATTGCGCGATGTTTACAATGCATAAATGTTGACATCTAAAAAGGCCTAATTTTCAAGAAATAAACACGCTGGAAAATACTTGTGTTTGGTAACATCCGAAAGTACGTTTTCTGAGGATTACAAATATGGTTTTATTATCTTGGTCCAAATTCGTGGAGCGAATCTACAGCCGTGCAAAGTCGACTGTGAAGTTACCACAGGATTCAAGATAGTACGGTTTTATACGGTAAACACGCTACAATTTACTTGTGTTTAGTATCGTCTTAAAGAGCGTGTTCTGAGGATTACAAATATGGTTTTATTATCTTGGTCCAAATTCGTGAAGCGGTTCTACAGCTTGGAAAGGTAGAGCATTTTGCGTTAATTAATAGGCAAGTTGTCATGTTGCATTATTTCACTAACGTCTAAATATGCCGGGTGTTGGACTAGTTAACACGCTGCAATATACTCGTATTTGGTATCAGATTAAAGATCTTGCTATGAGGATTACAAATATGGTTTTATTATTGTGTCCAAATTCAGAAGCGGTTCTACAGCTTTGGAAAGGTAGAGCATTTTGCGTTAATTAATATTCGCGGTACTTAACTGACATGTTTATATATATCTAATTTTCATGAAGTTAACACGCTACAATTTACTTGTGTTTAGTATCGTCTTAAAGATCTTGTTCTGAGGATTACAAATATGGTTTTATTATCTTGGTCCAAATTCGTGAAGCGGTTCTACAGCTTTGGAAAGGTAGAGCATTTTGCGTTAATTAATAGGCAAGTTGTCATGTTGCATTATTTCACTAACGTCTAAATATGCCGGGTGTTGAACTAGTTAACACGCTGCAATATACTGTATTTGGTATCAGATTAAAGATTCTTGCAATGAGTTTTATTATTGTGGCTTAATATTCCAGGAGCGAATCACAGCTTGAGAAATGTGGAGACGTTTTGCGTTAATTAATATTCGCGGTACTTAACTGACATGTTTATATATATCTAATTTTCATGAAGTTAACACGCTACAATTTACTTGTGTTTAGTATCGTCTTAAAGATCTTGTTCTGAGGATTACAAATATGGTTTTATTATCTTGGTCCAAATTCGTGAAGCGGTTCTACAGCTTTGGAAAGGTAGAGCATTTTTGCGTTAATTAATAGGCAAGTTGTCATGTTGCATTATTTCACTAACGTCTAAATATGCCGGGTGTTGAACTAGTTAACACGCTGCAATATACTCTCGTATTTGGTATCAGATTAAAGATCTTGCTATGAGGATTACAAATATGTCTTTATTATTGTGGCCGACATTCCAGGAGCGAATCTACAGCTTGAGAAATGTGGAGACGTTTTGCGTTACTTAATATTCGTGGTACTTAACTGACGTGTTTATATATATCTAATTTTCATGAAGTTAACACGCTACAATTTACTTGTGTTTAGTATCGTCTTAAAGATCTTGTCTGAGGATTACAAATATGGTTTTATTATCTTGGTCCAAATTCGTGAAGCGGTTCTACAGCTTTGGAAAGGTAGAGCATTTTGCGTTAATTAATATTCGCGGTACTTCTGACTGTTATATATATATTTTCATGAAGTTAACACGCTACAATTTACTTGTGTTTAGTATCGTCTTAAAGATCTTGTTCTGAGGATTACAAATATGGTTTTATTATCTTGGTCCAAATTCGTAGCGGTTCTACAGCTTTGGAAAGGTAGAGCATTTTGCGTTAATTAATAGGCAAGTTGTCATGTTGCATTATTTCACTAACGTCTAAATATGCCGGGTGTTGAACTAGTTAACACGCTGCAATATACTCGTATTTGGTATCAGATTAAAGATCTTGCTATGAGGATTACAAATATGGTATTATTATGGCCGACATTCCAGGAGCGAATCTACAGCTTGAGAAATGTGGAGACGTTTTGTTACTTAATATTCGCGGTACTTAACTGACGTTTATATATATCTAATTTTCATGAAGTTAACACGCTACAATTTACTTGTGTTTAGTATCGTCTTAAAGATCTTGTTCTGAGAATTACAAATATGGTTTTATTATCTTGGTCCAAATTCGTGAAGCGGTTCTACAGCTTTGGAAAGGTGGAGCATTTTGCGTTAATTAATAGGCAAGTTGTCATGTTGCATTATTTCATCACTAACTCTAAATATGCCGGTGTTGAACTAGTTAACACGCTGCAATATACTCGTATTGGTATCAGATTAAAGATCTTGCCATGAGGATTACAAATATGTCTTTATTATTGTGGCCGACATTCCAGGAGCGAATCTACAGCTTGAGAAATGTGGAGACGTTTTGCGTTAATTAATATTCGCGGTACTTAACTGACATGTTTATATATATCTAATTTTCATGAAGTTAACACGCTACAATTTACTTGTGTTTAGTATCGTCTTAAAGATCTTGTTCTGAGGATTACAAATATGGTTTTATTATCTTGGTCCAAATTCATGAAGCGGTTCTACAGCTTTGGAAAGGTAGAGCATTTTTGCGTTGATTAATAGGCAAGTTGTCATGTTGCATTATTTCACTAACGTCTAAATATGCCGGGTGTTGAACTAGTTAACACGCTGCAATATACCCGTATTTGGTATCAGATTAAAGATCTTGCTATGAGGATTACAAATATGTCTTTATTATTGTGGCCGACATTCCAGGAGCGAATCTTCAGCTTGAGAAATGTGGAGACGTTTTGCGTTACTTAATATCTGCGGTACTTAACTGACATGTTTATATATATCTAATTTCTGAAGTTAACACGCTACAATTTACTTGTGTTTAGTATCGTCTTAAAGATCTTGTTCTGAGGATTACAAATATGGTTTTATTATCTTGGTCCAAATTCGTGAAGCGGTTCTACAGCTTTGGAAAGGTGGAGCATTTTGCGTTAATTAATAGGCAAGTTGTCATGTTGCATTATTTCACTAACGTCTAAATATGCCGGGTGTTGAACTAGTTAACACGCTGCAATATACTCGTATTTGGTATCAGATTAAAGATCTTGCTATGAGGATTACAAATATGTCTTTATTATTGTGGCCGACATTCCAGGAGCGAATCTACAGCTTGAGAAATGGAGACGTTTTGCGTTACTTAATATTCGCGGTACTTAACTGACATGTATATATCTAATTTTCATGAAGTTAACAACTTCATCTTGTGTTTAGTATCGTCTTAAAGATCTTGTTCTGAGGATTACAAATATGGTTTTATTATCTTGGTCCAAATTCGTGAAGCGGTTCTACAGCTTGGAAAGGTGGAGCATTTTTTGCGTTAATTAATAGGCAAGTTGTCATGTTGCATTATTTCACTAACGTCTAAATATGCCGGTGTTGAACTAGTTAACACGCTGCAATATACTCGTATTTGTATCAGATTAAAGATCTTGTATGAGGATTACAAATATGGTTTTATTATTGTGGTCCAAATTTGTGAAGCGGTTCTACAGCTTTGGAAAGGTGGAGCATTTTGCGTTAATTAATAGGCAAGTCATCGTTGCATTATTTCACTAACGTCTAAATATGCCGGGTGTTGAACTAGTTAACACGCTGCAATATACTGTATTTGTATCAGATTAAAAGATCTTGCCATGAGGATTACAAATATGTCTTTATTATTGTGGCCGACATTCCAGGAGCGAATCTACAGCTTGCAAATGAGACGTTTTGCGTTAATTAATATTCGCGGTACTTAACTGACATGTTTATATATATCTAATTTCATGAAGTTAACATGCTACAATTTTACTTGTGTTTAGTATCGTCTTAAAGATCTTGTTCTGAGGATTACAAATATGGTTTTATTATCTTGGTCCAAATTCGTGAAGCGGTTCTACAGCTCAGGTAGAGCATTGTTATTTACGAGTTGTCATGTTGCATTATTTCACTAACGTCTAATATGCCGGGTGTTGAACTAGTTAACACGCTGCAATATACCTGTATTTGGTATCAGATTAAAGATCTTGCTATGAGGATTACAAATATGTCTTTATTATGTGGCAACATTTCCATGTTAAATCACAGCTTCGAGAAATGTGGAGACGTTTTGTTACTTAATATTCGCGGTACTTAACTGACGTGTTTATATATATCTAATTTTCATGAAGTTAACACGCTACAATTCTACTTGTGTTTAGTATCGTCTTTAAAAGATCTTGTTCTGAGGATTACAAATATGGTTTTATTTACTTAACCAAATTCGTGAAGCGGTTCTACAGCTTTGGAAAGGTGATACTTTTTGCGTTAATTAATAGGCAAGTTGTCATGTTGCATTATTTCACTAACGTCTAAAACTCTAAATATGCCGGGTGTTGAACTAGTTTACGCTGCAATATACTCATTTGGTATCAGATTAAAGATCTTGCTGCGATATTTACAAATATACCCTTTTTATTGTGGCCGACATTCCAGGAGCCGTGAATCTACAGTTTGAGAAATGTGGAGACGTTTTGGTGCTACTTAATATTCGCGGTACTTAACTGACGTGTTTATATATATCTAATTTTCATGAAGTAATACGCTAAAATTACTGTGTTTAGTATCGAAAGATTCAAACTGAGGATTTACAAAATGGTTTTATTATCTTGGTCCAAATTCGTGAAGCGGTTCTACAGCTTTGGAAAGGTGGAGCATTTTGCGTTAATTAATAGGCAAGTTGTCATGTTGCATTATTTCACTAACGTCTAAAACTCTAAATATGCCGGGTGTTGAACTAGTTAACACGCTGCAACATACTCTGTATTTGGTATCATAGATTAAAGATCTTGCCATGAGGATTACAAATATGTCTTTATTATTGTGCATGACATTCCAGGAGCAATCTGCTTGAGAAATGTAATGCCATTAATATTCGCGGGTACTTAACTGACATGTTTATATATCTAATTTTCATGAAGTAACACGCTACAATTTACTTGTGTTTTAGTATCGTCTTAAAGATCTTGTTCTGAGGGATTACAAATATGGTTTTATTATTTGGTCCAAATTCGTGAAGCGGTTCTAGCTTGGAAAGGTAGAGCATTTTTTGCGCTGGGATTAATAGGCAAGTTGTCATGTTGCATTATTTCTACCAATGCCTAGGGTGCCAAGGAACTAGTTTACCACGCTGCAATATACTGGGTATTTGGTATCAGATTAAAGATCTTGCCATGAGGATTACAAATATGTTCCTTTATTATTGTGGCCGACTTTCCAGGAGCGAATCTACAGCTTGAGTAACTGCTAGAGCGAATCTACAGCTTGAATTAAGTTTCATGTTTGTAAACATAAGCAGAGACAAATATTTCTATACTGCTACAGGGTCTAAGGGAGGAAACAAATGGCCAGCCTGAATTAAAAATTTTTGGTCCAAAGCCAGAACAACCATCTTTTTGGCCATGTTACACATACCGTTTTGTTCACCATCAGCAAGAAAGATTCAACTAGGTTTAATTAATGATTTAATTTATGTCCTTTATTTTTATTCATTTATTTATGTTTTCTAAACCATGTTTAAAATTATCTGCAAATTCGCAGATGGTAAACAACGATAAGAAATTTTCAGGAAAGTTCTCAACAAGGCAGAACTAACCGAAATCGTCCCATCCTATTGGAATTACATTACAGACGTAAGATAATAATTTCTGAATAATCAAATGTAAAATGTAAAAAAAGAAAATAAATTGTCCTAAAAAGAATACACAATTGTATTTTTACGATACGCTCTCCACACTTTATGCAATTATTACACATCCTATTAATAAATTGATGTGTACAGTTTAATGAACAAAACATCGAAGAAGAGTACCAGGACATGGAAAAAGAAACTGAAATAGAGGAAATAAACGAGGAGAAAGCAGACGAGTTCAAACAAGATATCGACGAAGAAGAAATTCAAGATGAAGATATGGACTACGAGCACAACACAGATAAATACTTAAAGAAGAAGGAAACGAAGAAGAATGAAAGCAATCAGAGAACATTTCATGATGCAGAAAGCAATGAGATTATTATTTAGATATTCTTTTCACTATCAAATCTTATGCAATTTCTAATGACCGAAAGTAGACTTAAATATCAAAGATATGTATGAAAGGTTGAAATTTGAGTTAAGATCTATATGTATCAAGATAAACAATACGCAATATAGTAATTTTACTCTCTGGAAGACTTTTGCAAAGTGTTTTTATACAGTGGATCTTTTTAGGGGAAAAATATGTGGTATAGTTTCTGGATTCAGGCAAAATTTCTGTGAAATTGTGAAATTTCAGGAATTGTTGTAATCCGCCGAAAGTCATCATCAACCTATAACTCATGCATTAAGGTTCAACATTTAAAGTTTATACCTTAAATATTTTTAAAACATTTTACTCTTGTGATTACGTATTTATTTTATAGATCGAGTAAGATGGAAGCGATGGTTTATCAAAGGATGTTGCCGTGTTATTTTGAGGCGCTTTAGTACGGATCCTGACAGGTTGAAACTTACCGGAATTTCCACTGTAACATCATTTAGCACTAGAGGTGACTTTGCTCCACCCTAAAAATTAAATTTAATAATACATCATTTCATAGATTTATCCCACAATTCAAATGAACTGAGATTTGATTTTTATTAGAGCGCACCAGGCAAACGAATAAGGAAACTGCAGGCAAGAAAATTGTGTCTGAAATTCATAATTTCCTGAAGTTTATTATACCAACCTAATTAATCGCCGTACACACCACTAATTCTACGGTTTTAAATTGAATAAAGTGATTATAAGTTTAATTTTGATACAACATGCCGTTCTGATCTGATAAGCTCAATTCAACTTTTCAGATGTTGGATTGTGAAAGATACACACTTCTTGCGTGTATTTGCTGAAAATAGTAATGTTGATGTGGTGTCCTGGTACGAGGTTTTTCAAATATATCTACCTTCTGTTTGCCAAGCTATGCAAGGAGTAGGCAGTGGCTTTTACTCTTTGTAAAATAAAGAAGGACCTGTTTGCATTCTTGAGCCAAAATGGGAAAAACGACAACTCGACACCTAACGCAGCATAAAAGTTTAATTACAGGTTTTTCCCAACATTTCGCCAAATAAAAAATCTGAGTGATTCTAAACTTTATTCCATACGTATGCATTAAGATGTTTGTATTTCTTATTTTTTTCTCTAGGAGAACTTTAATGAGAAAATGAGGAGGTTTTGTTTTAAAATATATTTTAGACACGCATAAAGAAAAATAAGAACACTTCTTTTATTCTTGATAATGTTTTTCATTTTGATTCCAGAGTTGCTTGTTTCTGGTGGTATAAGCATTTACAAAAGATTAAATTACCAAGATAATAGTTGGGTATGCGACACCATCGTAGACGTCCTGTCAAGGCACTACCCAAAATCTAGGTGTAGCTGAAATAAAGGACGAAAGTCACTCTAAATGCATATTAATGTCAAAACATTTACATTCTTATTTATAGGTACCACAAATTAGATAAAAAGAAACATTCGCATTTAGCAATTTTTTCAAAAGAAACTGTTAATAGATGGACCTCCGTATGTATTTTAAGTAGCAAATTTTTGGTAAAATATTCACAACTTTCAACATTATCAAACTATTCATAAATCGTGTAATGGAACATCGCTGTACTTCCTACTTTTAGAGGAGAGAAAGACCGCTGAGATTAATCAGACAAGCTTTCAAGAGAGCGAATACACCGAAGGTTCAAAGTAAAGTCAAAAGAACATATAATACAATGCAACAGCCGGGTGCAAGCTGTACACTTTGTGTTGATTTGTGTTATGAAATTTTATACAAGAAAACATATTGTACTTATAGCGATTATTATGTCAAGGCTTTTGCCGCTGACCAGAAGTTAATAGGCGCGTCCCTGATCATCGCCCGGGTTATAGCAAACCCCAATTGTAACCTAGCCATACTTTCCAACTCAGATATACTTCCATTTAATGCATTTTAGTCCCGTATCAAATGTGCGAACACTACATTGTATTTTTCACGCCCCATGTGGAAATCAACTGTATGTTGACAATGGCAAGCGTGTTAAAATAAAATTATCTATCTATCTGACTACTACCGCAATTGATAACTTAGTTTTGTATGAAAAACACATATATATTAAACCTTTATGATGGAGGAGCTAATTAATCAGATTGTATCGAGAAGATAGCTTTTTATGCCCTATCAAACTATGCTCAGTTATGGAAAAGTATGAGAAAGAGGGAAAATTATGTTTATGTGAAAGAAACATTTATGGTAAATGCCTTCTTAGGTATAGAAAACTTAAAACCTAAGATTTATATACTAATGCATTGGCATTTTTATGAATTACCATACAACCTAATAAGCTCAAAACCGCTAAAGCATCCTACCGGCCTATAATCTTTTGTTAAAATCCATCTTTTCGAATCGAGGGAGGCATCGTCAGTTTTGCTCTATATCTCCTCGCCATCCTTGGAGTCTGAGCTGGAATCTGAGCAAGAAGTAAGGGTATCGAATTTGAGTCTTAAAATATTCGCTATGAAAAAACAAGTAACAATCTTATTCTTACATTACTGGCATTTGGAACTTGCTGATTGACGCAGAAATAACAATTCCAATAAATAGGGTCTAAAAAAGTTACAAACGATTGGAAGATGCCTTAATAAAAGCAAATATACAATAAGAAAACATCAATCACATCATCACTGGTGAATAACCCATGCAACATTGGTCTATAAAACAGATCGCGATAAACATGAAAACAATGACTTAATACATTCAAAACGAAGCAAATACGCCTACCTGTTGGGGAATGTATGTATTTTGAGGCCAGTAGACTAACTCTGGCTGTACGAAGGAGCCCCTTCCTAACTGCCGGCCCGATGTTTATCTTTTGTTTTTAAATATATCACATCGATATTTTCAATAATTTTGACGGTCGATTTCGTCTCAAACGTGACGAAACCGTAACTGAAACAAAAAGTAGATGCAAAAATAAGGTTTCGCAACAATGACGATGGCTCATTAACATAAAACGTGGAGGTGTGTGTGTATTTTCGCAGCGCACTTGTCACGTTAAGGGCCAGGCATACCCATTGAGTTCTATAGTTCCATAGTTCTTTTATAGAACTCAATGTACTATACGGACGAATTCAATTCACACGAATTTAATTTACGTCCTTCGATAATAATGCGACAAAACTCAAGGCAAAGTATATATGTTGAATTTTTTGTCGAATTTAATTCATAAACTCCGTGCTGTCCCTCAGACTCCTATCTACAGCTCATGACGGAAAACAAGATGGCTCCTCCATCAGTTAAACAAATTAATTCCTTTGCTTACAATTTCAAACGTCGGTTGAGACAGCGACAAAGAAGATTTTTAAGTGTCTACGTTCTACCAGAAGCATATCCAGATAAGCCCATTACTACCACAGCCAAGTGTTAAAACAACTACTCACTTAAGTGAGTTTTCAAGCTTCGCGCCACCGAGAAACATTCGATGGTGGAGTAACATTTGGGAAAATTACTCGGATACGCTCTTTTAATCCGGTGCGCCGCCTTTAACTCTTACAGAAACATCTGGCATAAACTCGGCGTTATAGCGTTTTGACAGTCGAATAAAATTGCGATATTTGAATTCGCCGGAATTGAAATTCGTCCAAAGCGCAGGCCTAATTTGCAACTGTTTCTGACATGGCTTTAAAACAATCGTCAATGATGCCAAAAGGAAGCTTGCATATAGGCTTCTCCTTCAAATATTGTATCGGAATTTATGAAGCAAATTGGCTGCGTGCTGATCATGGTGCGAAAATAACTCATACTACAAGTGCATCACGAGAAGATCACAAACCCTTTGGATAGACCTGAATGGTTCAAAATTATTTTGTTTCGGTGACGTGTCCGAACACACCAAAGAACTCTGCCAGTTCAACTGCGCTGGTCTAAAAAAAGAGAAAATATGAAATCAAATGAGAGAGAGATACTCATAGTAAATCAACACACGACTGCTCAAAAATTTGATTAATTTTTAATATTGACAAGACAATAATGACATGACTTGTGTACAACACATCTAAATGAATCATGAAAACAAATCTAAGTCTTTTTGAAATGAACCTTTTCAAAACAAAATCGCTCAACATTTGATAGAAAACTGCACGTGTAGCTGCCTAACTGGAAAGCATTAATAAATACTCACATTTAGAGGAAGACTTCCAACAAAAATTCTGTTTGAAACTTTTTCCATACAGGTACGTCTGTATTTCAGCCTATAATCAAGAAACTTTCATTGAATGAAACACAAAACACCTGCAAAGCTTTACAGCACATTCGGATATTCACACTTTAGTAGCCACATGGGGTGGTAATTTTGAAACAAAACGCAATCAAACATCTACAATGCAAAATTATATACAAACAAAATGTAACTATACCGTTTTATGAGTAATGGTATAATGCAAAATCATAGCAAGAAAAAACATTTCACAGCGAACAGCCTTTCAGAAAAATGCTGTCTTTTGTTATGCAAATTGCATCTGGTACTTACCATTTTCGGGAGGTTAACTTTTGTAATTCAACTACTTTTAAACGCTAGAAACAAACAAATACTTTGTTTATTACGATACAATAATTGTTGTGCTGATTTGTAACAACAGTTTTGTTTTACATTGCTTTTCTTAAGCAAACTAATCACTTGAAATATTCTCTTTGCATTATTAAAACGGAACATTCAATGACTAATTGTAGCAACAACTCAATGAAAATTGTAAATTTGTCAATAGTCACTCCTTTGGGAATAGAATTGAACAATCCCACGCTATGCATTGACCCATAGAACTTTTTCATGCCTTAAAAGATAAATCAAAACTCACCAATCTACTCGCTTCCGAAGGAGCTCGTTACTTACACAAGATCTTCTATCTAAACTACGACGGTCGACTTGTCTAATGTCCGTCAAACTAACCACTCTACGGACGTTGCGCCTGAATAGTAATGAGCATAACATGCACAGGATTGGTTTATTTGCAGAGAACATTTTACATTCGAAAACAGCCAATGAAAAAGCAAGAAGTTCGTTTTGCCGCCAGTCTTATGGTAAGAGCTATCAAGACCACACCAACGAGTTGTTGAAAGTTTAAAAATTCGGCATTTTGATAATGCATTTTGAGAAAAGTTTGCATGTGGCCTTTTGTAATATCATTTTGCTCAAACTCATACTTGCGAAAAGTTTGATAGTCAATATCTGGTTTTGTACAAGACAGTGTGGCGGATGTAATATTTGGTGTCTGTTGAGCTAGTGTATTCAAAATTACCAATGATATTATAAAATCTACCATAATACAAACATAGCATTGATAGATGTACTACTGCAAGTGTGAAATAAATTTATGTAAATTTTCTTATCACAACATATTCGAGAGTATAAATTTCACATTGAGGTGTGATTAGTGATGTCTGTGTCACCGAGTTTAATGACACGTACTTGAAAATTAATCTTTGCAAAGGAAAATACTTCAATTGAACATGTGGTCGTTTCATTTTTTTCGCATCTCATCATTGATTTTTTCCATTCATCAAAAAGTTAAAAGCAATAGAAAAAAGAAAAAAGCACCTTTCATGAGTATATCGATGTTCACAGGTCATAAAAATTTGGTAAAGGAAGATTTAAGATTAGATTATGAAAGGATTTCCTGTTTTGTTCGAACGATGACTACCACAAGAATATGATTGCAAATTTAAAATTTACTTTTTCTTTTCAATACAATAATATTTGTTGTTGGAATTCTATATCATAACAAGAACATCAAATAGTATGAAATGGTAAATTACGCCTGTTCTTCGTGATAAAAATCAGCTTTATTATTATTGACAATGACCAATACAATGAATATCTCTTGAGTAGCTTATCAGTTATATTTTATTTGACCTTAGGCTTAACCGACTGATACGCAGGGGCTTGCGACTGGTTCATTTAAAGGAGTCTTTGAAAATAGAAACGCTATTTTATTGGTCAATGGCCAGATCAGTGGACAGTCTGGAATAATCTCGAATGATAATATTCTGGAAACCTTAAAGGAGTCAATTGCTATCTTTAATTGGTTCATTTGAATTTTTCTTACTGTGATGGTTTGATGATTTCACTGATAGAAACTAACTATATCATCAAAGCTCACTGCAGTTGAATGTTTGATCTTCATAGTAATTTTCTAAGCATGATAGAAACTTAAATACAATCAGATGGAATCAATGAAATCAAAATTCTATGTTGACATGAATGCTGCTTTCAAACTGGGAATTTTTCAAGGTGAAAAATTTATGGATGAATTGTAAAATGCTTGTAAGACGATCTCGTCGAACGGCATTTCAGTCATTGATTTCAAAAATATAACATTGTTTTGGTTTTAGTCAGCAGAATTTACATCGAAAATCGTAAAGTAAAGGACAAGTGAAGTTCATGCATGAATAAATATATCAAAGTCAATTTATGCAGTCATTGATACATTTATTTAATATCGTATGGCAAGCAGATCATCTTCTAAAATTGATTTGTTGCTTGGACAAGCTATGATTAGCTTTAATGCTTGGGGAATCGTGGCCGTTATAAGACATTGAAAACATTTCTTAAATATATTTCAATAGGTGAAAAAATCTGTATATAAGGTGCCATACTATTATACTTTATCATAAACAAATATTTGGGGTTATAATCGGTAAAACACGATATTCGATGACCATTGCTAAAACGCCGTGAGATTGTTTAGTCTGGGAACTGGAAAGAGTGACGTATTACTTGACATAAACAAGCATCGTTCTTATATCGTTGTACGACTAATATGATTTCGCGGTAGTTTGCCATGACTTTTTATTTATCAAAAATTAATGCATTCTTCTGAAGAAGCTGATTATAATATTGCCATCAATAACAATGAGGTACAACCTTACATGTTTCAGCCTAAAGCCTGAACACTATCGTCTATATTGACGAAAACGTGTGTTAAACGAAAATTCTTGCACGAAATGCATGCCTGACACAACGAAAAATTACAAGCATGTTTGCAAAGCCAAAACCTTTTGGCCTATAAAAGCGGCATTTTGACGGATTAGAAAAATGGAAATCTCTAAAAGAAAAGATTACTTTTCTTAAGAAAAGTTACTAATTTTTCTGTTGATCAGCATAATTTCAAACTAAATTATTGGATTACATTTAAACGATCTTTGATATTGAAAAGATATTTATCATAACCAGTAAGCATGACAATGAACCAATTTAACACATGTAATATATAATTGACGACATTTTGGACTACATTCTATTTGTATTTCCACATCACTAAAATGCTACTTAGTGAGTATATTACCTTGCATATCAACACAGAGATAATAGTCTAGTGAATCCTAAGAAACATTCATGGCATTAGCTGTCATAATAAATTTTCACTTTGATAATTTTCTTATCTTTGAAAAAAAATTTTGAGTTTTCTCAAATTTGAATTGCTGGCTCTGATGTGGAGATGGGTAGGGGTTACAATAAATTTGCATGGTTTGAATCAATTTTCTATATATGAACTGTCACTTGTAGGTACCAAATTTCTAACTTATTACATAGAGGTTTGAATGAGGGTCTCTAGGGGGTCTATGCCCTGACAACTTGGTGAAATTTTTAAGACTATATCTGTTTTTGAATAGCATTATTGTAAAATAAATTTTACGTTCCTAGACATGCTAATGAGCCATATATTTGGCATGAAAATGAGCCTAAATATTTGGCAAAAACATTCAAGTATTGTTCACTTCATTTTTTTTGAAAAAACGTAAGCAAAATATTTGTTTTTACCGAAAACGATGCCCACAAAATACATCTTGTATTGCTCTAAAACGCTGAAAATGGCATTTTAGAGGTTCTGAAATTCAAAATTTCTCAGGAATGCCTCAGACCTCCCCGGCGCGGAGTGCCTCCGACGTTTTATGACTGATGTTGAAAATCCTAGATCCGCCCTGGTCATGGCACGTGTTCTCCGTTCTTCAAAATGTGTCTGGCACTGACTCGTACGTTTCAGAATATCGGAGAGTCGTGTTTATTATTTAGTATCTTGTACCTTTTATTTTTAGTCATTAATTTACGAATTCAACGACACAAGACTGACAAGAGCATAGTGTTTTGGTCATAATGCTAGTCATACTTTACCACAACACACGTTTGCGTGCATTTCGATATCTGCAGACTGCGGCCCCTGCTTGTTTACGCATTGTGCGCAGAAAATAATAAAATAACCAGTAAAGCACCTACTACTTTGAATTAGAAATCAGAACATTACCTTTCGCTCTCAGTCATCTTTTAATAAACGATAACATTAACGGCGTGAATAATTCGGATGTTCAATGTGTTGAATATACGAATATTATTCGATGCGCTGATATGTTTAAATTGCGAGCGTACAAGACTGTTGACCAATCGCTATCAGCGGCGCCCTTAGAAGCGCAAAGCGCCTTCGATATTCCTCGAATAAAACCTCCAAATCTAGATTAACGCATGCGCAAATGTTCAAATTGAGCTCCGAAGGCAAGCGCGCTTGCCTTGGTTAATAAATAAGAAATTTTTAAGGTGTATTTAATCCACTTTACTCATCTTACAAGTGTAGCAAAGTGAAAGCGAAAACCACGACAGTAAATCGCGTATAAATAGCAAGCATTTCAACTGTAAAGACAATTTAGACAAAAGATTACATTGACTTTGTTTAGAACAGAAAAATTTAAACTGATTTTGCTCAGAGATTGATCCAAAAAATTTTTGTTCTCTAAAATGCTTAGGCAAGCGGCGCTTGCCTACGCTTGCATGACCGCACGCCACTGCCCCTCTATCACAATGATGACAATATGAACACAACGCAACGCAACACCGTTTTATGCAATTTCACTTACTTCACCATTTAGATCAACATCTTCCAATACATTACACAGGGACTTGGGAGCTTTTAGTATCTATAAGGGGACAACGCTTCATGAGACAAAAACGACTTCACAAGGTTATGAAAGCATTGTAGAAATTCATTGTACTGATTGTACAATTCGAAAAATGCAGAAGTTAAATAAGACATTTCTTACAGATGATCGCCGTTTCTCTTTCCTTACACAAGGTATGCTGGAATAGAAAGGACAAATTCTCAAATGAAAGAATGTGTTAAAAGCTCTGTAAAAGTTATTCAAACTCGTTGGCGAGCCTTGCTCAACGCTCGCAAATCAAGAGCGGAATATCAACACATGAGAGCATGCGCAATCACCATTCAGTCTTTCACCAGAGGACTGCTGGCTCGCAGGATAGCACACAGAGAACGAGCTGCAGTTAAAATTCAGTCATTCTGGAGAGGTATCGTCCAGAAGATTAGCTACCATAAGTCTAGAAACGCTGTTATGAAAATACAAACTTGTCTACGTATGAGAATCGCAAAGAAGAAATATGAACACTTGAAAAACACGGTTGTACACCTTCAGTGACTGGTGCGAGCCAATCAACTGTGTCGACTTCATACTATGGAGTACCAGACTAAACAACAAGCTATTATCGCTTTACAAGCTTCTCTACGTGGTTATTGGGTGAGGAAAAAGTTGAAAATTATGAATGATGCTGCTATCAAAATTGAGAGCGCTTACAGAGGTTATTCAACTCGAAAGCGTCACCTAAGGGTGACTCGTTGTGTTCTCTTACTTCAAAGAAGGCGACGAGCCACAACTTTGGGCAGAAAAGCGATGATTGACTACCAAAGAAAACGACGGTCAGTGAAATTTCTCCAATCACAGGTCCGTGGTTTTATTGCAAGAAGAAACTACAGTGATATCCTAAGGAAAATTATTTCTCTTCAATCCGCTGTACGTGGCATGCAGGCGCGTAAGAAGTATCTAAAGCTGCCTTTGTCATTCAGGAACGTTATCGTGCCCACAAGAAAGGTTTGATGATTAAAAAAAGATATCATCTACAACGAGGTGCTTGTATTACCATTCAGGCTAATGTAAGAAGATGGTTATGCAGAAAACGATATCAGAGCATGCGCGAAGCGATTGGAACAATCCAGTTATATTATAGAGCAAGTTATTGGGCCAAAGTGGAACGGAGGATGTTCCTTAAAACAAGGAGTGCGATCGTGACCATGCAGGCGTTCATACGTGGCTGGTTAGCACGTCGCAAAATTGAACGACAACGCGCTGCTACACGTATTCAAAGTGACTGGAAGATGCATGTTGCAAGACAAAGGTATTTATATCAACGTGCATGTGTTTTACGGATACAATGTTATTTCCGTTTGTGGATGAACTGTAAAAGATACATCACCTTGAGAAAAACGGCAATAATTCAACATGGTTACCGTAGGTACAGACAACGTCGTTTGGTCAACAAAATTTTGGAAGCTGTTTCTTCTCAAAAAAATGCTGCTTTGGTCCTTCAGCAACGACTTCGTGCTAATATGGCGGCCAAGAGCATTCGTCAGCATTATCTTCTTTTGAAAAGATCCTCTGTACTTATACAAGCTTCCTATCGTGGTCACTTAGCTCGAGCTCATGGCGCCAGGATTCGTTCTGCCATCGTGATACAGTCGTACTATCGCGGACACCGGCAGGCAACTGAGTATAGGGGGATAAAAAATGCCATAATCTTTGTCCAAGCTCTAACTCGAAGGAATCAAGCATTTGAGAGATATAGAAGTCTAAAAACTACTGCGTTGGTTGTTCAACGTCATCGTAGAGCAGTTGTGATTGGTTGCAGACAAAGAAAGATGTTCTTAAAGATGAAAGTAAGTGCTATAAAAATGCAAAGTTGCTATCGAGGTTATAGAGCACGGAAGGCGTATAAACTTATAAGACAAGCTACCATAAAGATTCAGAGCTTTATCCGTGGAATAATAGCCCTAAATAGATATGAGAAACTACGCAAAGCCATTGTAATACTTCAAACCAGAGAAAGAGCGAGAATACGTGGAAAAGAAGAAAGAACATCATATTTAAAGCTGAAAAAATACACCATTTCTATGCAGAGTTTATTTCGTGCAAAACGCGATGAAATGAGTTACATGCTTATTCGAAACACCATTATAAAGCTTCAAGCTATGTTGCGTGGGAAACATGCACGAAAAGTGTTTCAAAGATCACGTTCAGCTGTTATCGTGTTGCAACGTGCACAACGAGCACGGATGTTGGGAAAACGAGAACGGATTCAATTCATGAAAAAACGAAATAGTACTGTACGTATTCAAAGTCTTATAAGAATGCACTCACAGCGAACACGCTATTGCAAATTACGACACGCGGTAATCATTGCACAATACTAATCAGCGCGCAAAACTTACCAAACAATGCGTACAGCTGCCATAATTATTCAAAGAGCGGAACGTGCCAGAGTTCTTGGGAAGCAACAGAGAGTGGAATTTTTAAAACTGAAATGTAAAGCTGTTTTAATTCAGAGTTTGGTACGATGTCACACACAAAGAATACGTTATCTTAAAATAAAACACGCTACCAACATCATTCAAGCGTATGTTCGTGGCAAGAAAACACGACGTTTTTATAAAGAACTACATAAAGCTACACTGGTTATTCAAAACCTGCGTGCGAGCAAAACGTTTTCTTGTCGTCAAACGGTTTGCCACGAAAACGCACATCAATCTCATGGCAATACGTTTACAACGAGCATATCGTAAAGCCATGGCGATTGCTCTGTTGAAAGCTAAGATCGATAGCGTGGTGATAGTACAGGTATTTACGCAACAGTCTTCTTAAATTCATGAATTTAATGTTTATTGCCCTCAAAATAATTTTTACTTGTTTTGTTACTGTAATTGTAGCGATGGTGGCGAGCTAAACTCCAGAGGAAATTCTATCTACGAACTCTGCATTTCATTCGTCTTCTCCAAAAGAAATGGCGCACACGACTTACCATAATGCACCAGTCAGCGACAAGAATTCAGGCAGTTGTGAGATGTTTTTTAGCTCGAAGGTTTGCTCGAAAAAATATGAAAGCAATCATCAATATACAGGTATGTTGGTGATTGTTGACGATTTTATTCTGTTTGGTAACTATGAACTACAGTAAGCAGCTTAAGTGGGTATACAGCTTTCTGCTCTTCCAAAAACCTTTACAGTGTGGCTGTACCTTATAGAAAGGACACCCAAAAATTTAGCTTCTTGCTTTAACCGGTATGATCTATTGCATGCTGGGTTTTTATTGGTGTACAAAATTTTGAAATTAAGCAATGGTCACCAGGAAGAAAGAAATTTTAAATAGTGTGAACTTTGACAAAATATGCAAGTCACTTGTATGTAATGAAATACAACTAAAGAAAATTGAAAGTAACTAATACTGATGAAATATTTTTTTACTATTTTATGTTTCTTGCGTTACGTATCACATCACGAACATGAGACATTCGCAACCTTTGAAAGCTTCCAAAGCCCCTCAGCAAAATGTTTTTCAAGTTCTTTAGATTTCTGCATGTTCCAATTGTTTCTTTCCTAAATTGTCTTTTCAAGATCTCTAGTTTACATTTCTACATGTTCCAATATTTTTTTCCTTTCTCACCATAAAGAGAACGTGGCGAGGTTACAACGTTCGAAAGCGCTTCAACTCGAAGAAGTTTAGAAAACTAAGAGAGCGAATTATTGTGGCTAATTCCAACGTCACCGAGTCCATGAAGCTTTGCAATCGTACTCGTTCTGCACTCGACTATTTACTAAATTGTAAGAATTTAACAACGGTCCGTGAAGCTCTGGTTAATCTTGGTATGTCGCACTATTTAATTTTTGCAATCTTCACTCCATTATCTTGTTCAAATTACAACGCCCATACAATCACATAATTGCCTTTAGTTGTATCCGAATTCTTATGTACTGTCCATTTGCTTTTCCTCCCCATTCCAAACCGTATTTTTCAGCATCAAAAGATTTGTAACCGAATTTCCTTTTGGATATTGATTTGATCATTCATCATTCTATGAAATGTATCCAACTATACGTATATTGATCATACTGTATACCAAGATATGTACCCAATTGTACACCTGTATATTGATCATCCATTTTTCTAAGATATATACCCAAGTGTCCTACTGTGTATTGGTTATCCCTTATACTCCATTCTCTCGACAGAGGTCGCAACAAGATGGACATTCAAGTGTTCACAACAACTGGTTGCGAATAACGCTCTCCGTGTTATTTTTCAAATTATCCGAGACTCAAATAGGAGTCTACCTCACATAGGATTGATCAAACTGGCGTTAGATATTTTCACCAATGTGTCCAAGGTGAGTTTGGGCTGAGATCCATTGATATTTATTGAACATTACTGTCACTGAACGTTGGCAGTGTAATCAGTTTGTTGTTTTTGATAATTGTTGCATGGTTAATTGTTAGTTGTTTTGTGACTCAACAAAACTTCATGCTTTCTGCATTGTTTTTCCACCATAGTTGTTGGTTGTTATTGATAAATGACTGAGAAACTGTAGTATTTTCTGTGAAGATATTGCCACTTTCATAAATAATGGTTGCACCTAATTTTTTATCATTATTCTAATATCTCACTTGAAACAAAAACCCAAACACTTTTGCTAAAGTAATCATGTATCCAATTAGAAACCATTTTGATAAAAACACGAAACAATCCATGTTTTTTTACAAAATACTCTTTGGCATTCTTAATTTGACTATAAACTATATGCGCAACACATTTTTAGTGTCCAGCCACCCAGGATGCCGTGGTTTTAAAAGAAGAAAATGCATTGGAAACCATACTTGAACTCGCGTGTATTTTTCGCGAGAAAAAGGAAATTTTCCTCAGCGTTGCAAAGCTACTTACAATTTTATGTACTCACGAAAACGTAAGAAAGGTAAGCAGAAGTAAACCTCTAGGACAAGAGCTGCCTGCATGTATTTCTTCTAAAGGGTTAGTCATTCTTTGTAATGTCGAATTAATTTAGCAACTTTTGTCTGTTTTGATTCGGCTTTAGAAATTACTGAAAACAGAAAACGCTGCAAAGAAGATATCTTCCATTTACTCCATCACAAAAAGGAAGTTTGAAATCGAGATGAAACGGAACACGAAGATGAAACAACAAAATGACAAGGGCGGACGATACAAGACTGATAACATTTATGGTGATGCCTTAACAGCCGTGATCACTCTTATGAAAACGATTGGTTTAGATTATCCCGTATAGAAAGGTTTAGATTATCCCGTATAAATAGGTTTATGATATTGTTAGTGCAATAAAAAATCGCATTGATATTTTGTAGTCAGTGGTGAAGACATGTACTTGCTTGTTTCTACACACGTTACATCAACAGAATTATCTCGCGAAAACATCGCAAAAAACAAAAACCGATACAAATACAACATCATGTTATCATCAAACCAACAATCATGATTGTTAACATAATCATCGATGTAATCGATGATAACGTTTAACATGATTAAAACATGTTTGGTGATGAACGTTTCTATTTTGTGTTTGAACTTCAATTTAATTTCATCACTAGGGCACAACGGAATATATGAATGTGCACACCCCCACACACAATTAACGTTCTAGTTACGCCTCTGGCAATCGCTGCAGATCTGCGACAATGCAACTAAAAGTGTTTAAGCCTGGCCCTCATTGGTGACATAAGGATAAGCATAAATGTGTCCTCACTTTCAAACTGCAATAAGCACAATTATTGCAACCCTTAAAGTTCGCTGCGAGATCACAACCTTTAAAGGTTGCTGCGACATGGATACAGTAACCATGACTGAATTGAAGCAAGTTTTGAAGGAGCAAGAAGATCACATCGACCAGTTAGAGGCGTGTAATGGCGATCTAAGCCTTGGCCGTAATTATGTCGAAAAGCGTTTGAAGGGCGTTTGCGAAAAACCCTCGACACAATCCAGGGACTTGAAAATGAGAATAGCTCATAATGCTGAAGTCTTGAAGCAGAAAACGGAAATGTTGGAAGTGCACAAGAAACTTATTTAAAAACTTGGTATTGAAAGCGAGGCGAAGAAGAGGTTAGTAAATTGTACGTTTAGATTTTCTCTATTCTGTGCGATGTTTTATTCATGCTGCATACGCGTGAATGTAAAACTCTTTGTTCTTGTTATTTTTATTAATAATTTATTGCTTATGCAGTTGAAAGTGAGGACATTTATTCTTATTCTTATGTCAGTAACTAATGTATTATGTCTAAATAGTCATAATACATCTTATATCTAAAAATAGGGGATCGTGTTTTGAGGCAGTCAGCGGTAGTAAACATAAAATAGAAAGGGTGAGCCTGTGATATATACATATATATATATTAGAATAGTGGAAAGAGTAATATAAAATAATAGATATAAATATATAAAATATATAAAATATATAAAATATATAAAATATATAAAAGTATATAAAATATATAAACAAGAAGATTTTTATAAAAGATATATATTTCAAATACAATACAAAATAATACATTGATGAAAGTCCAAAGTCAATTTTTAAAAATGATTAATATGGAAAGTCCAAAGTCAATTTAGTGATAATACAAATTGTCACGCTAATGATTCATCACATTAAAAGAAACGATAAAAGGACTAAAAATGATGATAAACAAGTAAGTGTCATAATGTTAATAAATATTAAATATTAAAATATGCTTACCAAAAAATGGAGATATTTAATCACAATCACACCAATATTAGCGGTCTGAACTAAACACGTTGTTGCTTTATGAAGACAGAAAAATCCAATGAAGACTGTCATAAACAAGTATTGACCATCATATTTCCAAAAAAATTTCAGATCTTGAATAATTGAATTAATTCTACTTTTGAAAGACATCTTCTCTCTTTGAGCGACTGAATATTTATGATACAAGTAGATATATAAAAAAGTATAAATATAGAGAAAATTGTAAAAAAATGAAATTTATTGTAAAAAATTGAAAAAAGTTGAAAAAAATTGAAAAAAAATAAATTTAAAAATGTAAAAAAATGAAAAAAAATGTAAAAAATTGCAAAACAATTTTAATCAAGAAAAAACAATTTATTACATGTTTTTACAATTTAAAATGTTATATTAAAAAAAGTTTTTTTAAAATAAACCAGTAGATTCACCAAATGACGTGGGTTTTTCCTCTTTTTTAATAAATGAACCCATGGGTACACCACCAAATCTTGATTGAAAAGATGCATCAAATGCTAATGGATTTTCCTCCTTACTAAGTAAATCAAATGATTTTTTAGCAGTAGATTTTCAAACAATCCAGTAGGTTATAACAAATGTTGATTTTTCAGTTTTATTATTTTCATCAACATTGTTATTTTTTTCTAGCACATTAATTTTATTAAGTAATTTCAAATGTAATAAAACATTTTCTTCCTCAATTTTTGTAATCATTTCTTTTATTTCTTTAATTTCTTTTTGCACTAACATGTTTGTTGTTTTTATAAATAAAGATATTTCTTGTAGTCTTGTTTTTATATTCTTAACTTCATTCATTTTTTTCTTTTTTTGGTATTTTCTTTCTGTAACATAACAAAGTTGGATTAAAAATGAATATATTCTCATTTGAGTTTTGTTAATATCATATCTTACCTTTGTAAATTTCTTTCTTTATGAATAACTTCTTCTTTAATTTTTTGTAATTCTTTCTTTTTTGTATATGTGATAAAAAATAATCTGATGGGTATACTGGTAATGATGTGTTACTTTAGAATATCTTGACATTTTACAATAAAACAATATTTATAAAATAATTTTTTTATTCTTTCATTTTCAAGAAAATTATCTTTTATTTTCAAGAATTATCACTTTTATTCTCATTCAAAATTCAAATTTCTTACAAAAAGAAAAATAGAATATTGTTTTTTTCTTTTTATTCTTTCTTAATATATCTTTATTTTCCTCTTTCTTTCTTCTTCTTTTATCGATTGAATTTCTTTAATTTTTCTTTTTAATTCTTTTTGTCTTTACAGCAAACGTTTGCATGATAATCAATACTTTCTGCTCCAGTTGGTGTTAGTAAATTTTAAACTCAAATAAATTTCGTAATGAAACATATTTTGCAATAATAACAATATTTATAAAACAATTTTCTGTATTCTGTATTGATTTTGCTTGTGGTATGTTTTATATGACATTTAGTTTTTCTTTCCTTTCTTCAATAAAACTAATTTCTTCCTCAATTTTTTATTTCTTCTTTTTTCTTTACAGCAAACATACAAATGATGAAAAACACAATGTCGGATTTTTTGTAATGAAGCACTATATAAAGCCTCCATTTGATATCTTTGACATTCTTTACAATAAAAACAATATTTGTAAAATAATTTCTATATCTTTCATTTTAAATATAATTTATTTTATCCATTTTTCCAAATAAATCAGCTATTCTCCACTAAATGTTAGTATGAAAATGAATAAAGTTTACAATTTAATGAGGTTACAATAAACTATCATGTTTTTTTATTTCTATTTCTTTCTTGTATCTTTTATTTTTCCTCTTTCTTTTTCTTTTCGATAAATTCTATTTTTTTTTTTTTTTTTTTTTTTTTTTCAATTTTTTCTTTTAATTTTCGTTTCCTTCACAACAAACTCTGCGTGATGTTTGATAGAATTTTCATTGTTGGCGCGTCCATAATAATTTATTATGGTTTGACAAATGAACAATTAAAACTATATTTATAATCTAATGATGTAGAGCAAAGATGTGATCATGGGTATAGTTATTTTACTTATTTTTCTCTATTAGAATTTAGTTCCTTTATATTTTCATCAACTATTTCGTTTCTTTGCAAAATATTCTTTTTCTTCTTTGTTTTCTCTGCAGCAATTGTCAGCATGAAAATGAATACGTTGTAATTGACTTGGAAATGAGTATAAATTATGATGAATTTTATATTTTTGACACGTTTTACAAGAAATAATAATTATAAAATAGATCTCTATATATTGCATTTATGCTAGCAGACATTTTACTTAAGTTTTTATAACCTATCTATTAGTAATGAATACTAATACAATACTATTGCAAAACTATCTATGTTTTCTATTTCTTAAAAAATTTACATGAGGTTTTAAATAGGAATTTTTCATTTTTATTTCTTTAAGTTCTTTCTTGTATACTCTTTTATTTTTTTTTTTCTTTTTCTTCTTCGATATATTTAATTTCTTCAACTTTTTCTTTAATTCTTCATTTTCTTTAAACAAAATTCTGCATGATACTTGATAGCATCTTCATTTGATAATGGTGTATAAAACCAACTTAACTTAATTTTATGATTTCGACACGATGAACAAGAAAACAATATTTATAATGTAATTTGTATAGTTTATAGATGTGTTCATATATCTATTTAGATTTTAAAATTTTACACAGTTTTATATAGTTTTGTAATAATATAAGTGTTTTTTCTTTTTCCATTTTTAAATTCTTTGAATTTTTTTTATTTATTTTTTCATTCAATATGATTTATATGGTTAATAATAAATTCATTAAAAGTTAATTCACTAACATATTTATAATTATTTGGTAAAAATAGATATATATACATTTACTACAATTAAATTCAGTTAAAAATTCATAAATTTTACCCATTACTTTTTATATATAAGTGTGTTCTTTTGCTGTTTCTCAACTCTATTGATATAATATGGAACAAAATTTAAAACGAGCACAAACATATCTTTCTGAATGGGAAAAATACCTGAAAAAAAGGAAAGACTTTAAAAGATATGATTGTTTGTAATGAGAAATTAGTTTCTTCTATTCATGATTATATTCGATTATTAGATATATTTTGAAGAATGAACAATTGTACAATGATTTAAGAAATACACCATGGTATAATGAAGAAAAAAAAAAGAGGTGGTTTTCGATTTGAATAAATATGAAGAAAATGAACAATTTTGAAAGAAAAATGTAGATAACGAAGTATTTATTTACATGGTTGGTTGTTGTTATAAACATTTGTTGTGAAATTAACTATTCAATCATATCAATAGTATCGTTGTATGAAGTTTTGGTTTGTATATTGTATATAAAGATATCAATGGCATCTATTCCTCCTGAAACTTTGGAAAGAATAAATAAAGCTTACGAGGAAGAAGAAAGAGAGAGAAAATTTTTAAAAAGTTGTGTTAGAAAATGAAGTTACTATTTTCATTAATTCATGGATATATTGATTTGTTAAACGATTTGTTAGTTTCTTCTGATTTATATAATGATTTAAAAAATGGCATGGAGAGGATTTAAAATTCTCTAATATTGGAAGTTAT